CCCCCCCCCCCCCCCTCTTTTCTCCCCTAAAGATTTCATTTTCTTAAATTTGTTGGAGATCATGCTTGTACTTTGTTTGTTTATGAGAAAATATAGGAAAAAGAGAAGACATTTTGATTATTTTTCATCTTAGAATTTTATCAGACATCCACTGAACAAAGAACCTTTACTCAAATGTTATAAAAGAGAACTTTGTATTTGACACCTTAAAGTTATAGTATTTGTTGATCTGGGTTTGGATTGATCTTGAATTTGGATGAGTAGGCTAAGGACAAGCTAGAGAAGTCCATGGTGGCTGACAACGAATCTGGAAAGAGTATAGAGAGCGAAGTCCGGACAAGCTCTGGCATGTTTCTACAGAAGGCACAGGTTGGTGAAATTCCCTTTCGATGATGATGCTTAACGTTTGCAACTAATTTTTCTAGCAAATACGCCCAATTAGATTGCAATACTTTATTGCTTGGTAGCATATGTGTTCCATAATGTTGTACATTACTCCAATGATATGACATGACTGATCATATAAGTGCATGTCGGCAAGTACTTGCAGTTTGCAATTGTATTGTCCAACCAGTGGTGTAATTTTCGACTCTCCTCAAAGTAATCCGCTAAAGCACTACTTGGTGTCACCTTGGGACTTTACTGATTGTAACGTGATTTATTGCGATTGATTGTACAATGTTATAGTAAGTTAAACAACACTATCTGATAAATCTACAACTTTGTCTTATTTACATTTGATCCCTCTTGAAATTCTCGGTGAAAGAAATGTTCAACTTTCTGGTTGGGCTTGTGAGGTGCTATCTTAATGTGTGATTGTATGGTGGCGCTGTCTTTGCGGAGTCTGAAATGGGCTTGCCATCGCTCCTTGGATAAGAGCACTTCAATGGCCATGTCCAAATTCCAATTCTCATGTATAGGAAAACTCAACTCAATATGATGAAGGTTTATACTTGCTTACTAGTCAAGTGCCATTTAGCTTTTTCTTTACAACCATACCTTTCAAACTCCTGTTTCTAATGTTTTCATGTGTGCAGTACAGCTAGTTAATCACGGGAATTTGTATGCATACCGAAGTTTCAGAAAAATCCTTTTAGTTGTATTCTGATGCTAGATAATTTTTTGGATTTGTGGAATAAGTTACTTATTGGGCAATACTTGTTCCTAACAACCCTTAAATTCGTTAGTAGATCAATCAACTTATCAGTTTTGTGAAGTCTCATCTTTTGAAGGATGCACTAATGTATTAATCTGGATTATAAATGCAGCTGAAAACATTTACTAGAACTCGTGTAAAGGATGTTTTCATGCTGTACTTTCTTGTGTTTCAGGCCAAGTAGCTTTATTTATTGGGCGTTTGCTCTATTTCAGTTGTGACATAGGGGTGTAGAAAGATTGAAAGCTAGGATGATATTTTTGTAGATCATTTCCCAGCCATGTTATCTGATTCAAAACTCGTAGCAACTATGTGAGGACTCTATATAGTTGCTTGGTGCTTGGGGCTTGGGGCTTGGGGCTTGGGGCTTGGTGCACCGGAGCATGGAGGACACCTTTTGGTTTATAGTGTTTACTTTTGTGATTTGAAATTACAGGAGTTGTACCGTGATTGGTGGTAATGATGGAGGACCATCATGTAATAAAACGAACGCTACTTCTTTGTTTTATGCACAGGCCAAGCTTTTGAGTTTCTACTACCTTAAATTTCCTTTGAGAAGCTGAAATTTGGCAGTCTTCCATATCTGAATGATATAAAAGTTGGGTTGTTATTGGAATTTGTCAATGATGAGAGTATGAAAGTAATTAGCTCTAGCTGCATAGTTATTTTCTTGATGCCATTAGAATATAATTTTGTCCAATAGTTTCTCTTGCTGAATGAATTGCCAAAGAGATGACTGAGGCATTGTCGTGCCTTTTAATTGGCCATCTGAGAGGTTAGCCAAAACTTTCATTTCTTCGAAATGACTGTAGTGTGTACAACACACATTTTCTTAGCTATTCCCGTCAGAATTCTCATACGGAGGACAATCTCAGTTTTGAAATAAACTTGAGTCCTGATATATGATTGATTAGCTACAGATTGGGAAGCTCACTGGCCATTCTTTTTCCCCACTTCTGTAGGATGACATGGTTGCTGGCATTGAGGCCAGGATTGCTGCTTGGACCTTCCTCCCTGCAGGTAATTTGGTAACATCCTATCTGATGATTTATGGCTTCTTGTGGCATTGGATAGGAAATGAGTTCTCATTCGGTCCCTGAACCTGTCGTTACTTTTAGAGAATGGGGAGTCCATGCAAATACTTCATTATGAGCATGGCCAGAAGTATGAGCCACATTTTGATTACTTTCATGACAAGGTCAATCAAGAACTGGGTGGTCACAGGGTGGCTACGGTATTGATGTATTTGTCTGATGTTGAGAAGGGTGGAGAAACTATTTTTCCCAGTTCAGAGGTATATTATCTGGTAATATTATTGTTGTTCCTGTTTTTGGTGATCGGTAGGTGCTAACAACTTAGATATTTTTGTTTTTGGCTACAGGAAAAAGGATCTCAGCCAAAGGGTGATGACTTAACTGATTGTGCTAAAAATGGCTATGCAGGTAACTTCAGTGTCATTTGTTGTTCAGGTTCATATTATTTCGTTGATTTATTTGTGAAAGTACTGTTCAAGAAAAAATTTACATACTGTACCAGATATTATTACTGCACAAATTTAGGAGGAAAAAAACCCATGAACGCAACGGTAGGAGCTGTTTTGAAATAAGTTTTTTAATCTAAAAACCAGTATTGCCTTGTTAGGGTTGAAATACCAGGGAAAAATGATGTTTTTTGAACTCCAGAATGTCTTGCATGTGAAGCTATGTGGTATGTTTGATAGCTCAAAATGAGGTTGATCCTTTAATTGCAAGGAACATGAGTGGGATCTAGATGAATCATTTCCTTTTTCTCTTTGAAACCCATTGAATTAATCGCAGTTGATACATCATGCCTTTAGATGTTATTATTACTAGGAGTGTAGCACAGAAGCATGATTTGATACTTGTCTGTCTGAACTTGCCCCTGCCTATACTTTAATGGAAGGAACATATGCATTTAGATATTATACAAAAACATCCGAAAGCAAATGTCGTCATATTGTAGTATAATTCATATATAATGGAGGTCAGCATTCATTGCTACTTGTTTAGTATCTGATATATGTGATGTTTTCACTTGCAGTGAAGCCCATGAAAGGCGATGCTTTGCTGTTCTTTAGTCTTCATCCTGATGCAACTACAGACCCATTGAGCTTGCACGGGAGCTGCCCTGTCATCAAGGGTGAGAAATGGTCAGCAACAAAGTGGATTCATGTAAGGTCTTTTGACAAACCAGTGACGAAGTTAAGTGGAGATTGCGTTGATGAGAATGCAAACTGTCCCCAGTGGGCTGCTGCTGGTGAATGTCAAAAGAATCCTGTCTATATGGTTGGTTCTGAAGCGGATGGTGGATATTGTAGGAAGAGCTGCAATGCGTGCTCATCTTAGTGATCATTTTCCTAGAGTCTGTGTCTTGATTTTTATACAGAGCAAATACTATGTCCTTCGATGACTATATGTAACATTGAGCTGTGATTATGACCCCCTAGAAGGACACAAATGAGAAACTGAATTTTGAAGTGGCTGTGGAATTGGATGAAGGAAGCTATGAATACCAATGAAACTTTTGTAGTGTAGTGGTAGTTCTTAACAGTTCGTAGTTCATCTTTCAAAGTATTTGCTTCTCAATTAATCATATGTGGTGGCCTGTCAAATTATCCTTCAAGCTGTGTGATATTGAGCTCTCTCTCTCTCTCTGGATAATTTGATAGGCCACCACATATGACTAATTGAGAAGCAAATACTTTGAAAGATGTGTGATATTGAGGGTGCCCCTCTCTCTCTCTCTCTCTTCCCAAATTCAGTTTCAAATTACTAAGTATACTTTTTCGGATCCAAACCTTTTGTTATTTCTAAGTCTTCTTCTTGCATAGAAGAACGCAACTATTGTAAAAATTGGGATTTTAGTAGTAGACGGCATCCCCTCTTAGTTTCAAGTCGGCAAAATCATTCTATTTTTATTTTTCTCCACATTCATACTTGGTGATTCAGGAATTTGTTTATGATTTTATCAACTGATATTTGGATATAGAATGATCTCCTAATTTCTTCATCATGAATTCTCGCATAATTTTCTTAAAAAGATATTATATCACCATAAGATACTTTAAAATGATTAATAATTATCATTCCACTATTTATGCAAACCGAATCATTTTGTTAATTAAGTTGATTTGATTGTGCCATGATGAAAACAAATTTTTGTGTGTTTGTGGGTGTGGGTNAAGGGTGAGAAATGGTCAGCAACAAAGTGGATTCATGTAAGGTCTTTTGACAAACCAGTGACGAAGTTAAGTGGAGATTGCGTTGATGAGAATGCAAACTGTCCCCAGTGGGCTGCTGCTGGTGAATGTCAAAAGAATCCTGTCTATATGGTTGGTTCTGAAGCGGATGGTGGATATTGTAGGAAGAGCTGCAATGCGTGCTCATCTTAGTGATCATTTTCCTAGAGTCTGTGTCTTGATTTTTATACAGAGCAAATACTATGTCCTTCGATGACTATATGTAACATTGAGCTGTGATTATGACCCCCTAGAAGGACACAAATGAGAAACTGAATTTTGAAGTGGCTGTGGAATTGGATGAAGGAAGCTATGAATACCAATGAAACTTTTGTAGTGTAGTGGTAGTTCTTAACAGTTCGTAGTTCATCTTTCAAAGTATTTGCTTCTCAATTAATCATATGTGGTGGCCTGTCAAATTATCCTTCAAGCTGTGTGATATTGAGCTCTCTCTCTCTCTCTGGATAATTTGATAGGCCACCACATATGACTAATTGAGAAGCAAATACTTTGAAAGATGTGTGATATTGAGGGTGCCCCTCTCTCTCTCTCTCTCTTCCCAAATTCAGTTTCAAATTACTAAGTATACTTTTTCGGATCCAAACCTTTTGTTATTTCTAAGTCTTCTTCTTGCATAGAAGAACGCAACTATTGTAAAAATTGGGATTTTAGTAGTAGACGGCATCCCCTCTTAGTTTCAAGTCGGCAAAATCATTCTATTTTTATTTTTCTCCACATTCATACTTGGTGATTCAGGAATTTGTTTATGATTTTATCAACTGATATTTGGATATAGAATGATCTCCTAATTTCTTCATCATGAATTCTCGCATAATTTTCTTAAAAAGATATTATATCACCATAAGATACTTTAAAATGATTAATAATTATCATTCCACTATTTATGCAAACCGAATCATTTTGTTAATTAAGTTGATTTGATTGTGCCATGATGAAAACAAATTTTTGTGTGTTTGTGGGTGTGGGTTTTTTTTTGGGGGGTTGTGTGTGTGAGAGAGAGAGAGAACTCAATGAATATGTGACAATTGTACAGGAAGAGGTAGGCCGAGAATTGGATTATCTGTAACGTCTACTGCCATTGATTCATTCTGCTACATATCTAAACATCGACATAAAAGGGCTGGCTCTCTTTCTCTCCCACAATAACCAAAATGGTAAACTTCATCCACACTCTATTTAGTTATGCATGCATATATTCAATGACACCCTCGGGTCAACATGAATCCATTTAAACAAGAAATAAACCTGCTAAATATAACTTATATATGGTATAAATTCGACTATATAATATTATATTGTCATGGTGTCTCATTTAATAAATTCGTCTATAACCCAAATTTAAGTTGGTTCGCCCCTGATTCTATATTAAATGGATAATATGTGAGATTGTTATGGTTAGTATAGTAAAATAGCAAGTTCTGTTAGCCTCGACAAACTCTTACAGGGGTGTCAATAAAATTTTAGATAATACAGGGCTGTGTTGGAAGATAAACTATTCTACAGGGGAGTGAATGAAGTTTTTTCTAACCAAAACAGTTATGTTAGTTATAACTTAGAAAGAGAAGATATAAATCAGGGGGAAAAAAAAGTGGGAGAGAAAGAGAAACACATATTATGTAAATTAAAGGATTGATCCATGAATACATTGCAGAGATCATCATATTCATTCCGGAGACAGGGCTCTTCCGGCCGCATTTGGGACAACCGACCGGAGCTAAAGGGTGGTGGGTCGCATGCAACCACATATTCTGAGAGCACACAGGAACCTAGATTTGACAACGAACGGTTCAATAATTTGAACCCTTCTGTTGCCTCTGCATCATCTGGACCTGAAAGAAAGGTGCACCATTCCGTTGCATCGGCACCTAGATCAGAACATAAGGTTCAAAGGTGCGCTTTTGCTGCCATTCTCAGGCGATGTGTTGGATCACATGCCTCCTAGAGACTTGACAATTTTTTGTCCAAAATTCTGTATCACACGGGTCTTCCTTTATCAGGATTCTTTTTTATTTATTTATTTTCGGATTATAAAAAATAAGCGAATCAGGCTGTCTAATGATAATGTTGGTTGATATATGCCAACAATTCATAAGATTTATTTCCTATTCATTTCTTGTATATTTTTTGGATAATCTTTTTAAGTTCTTATTGTATTTCTCTCAATCTCTTCATCAGGATTCTGTCATTTATTCATTTTCAGATTATAGAAGAAATAAGTGAATCAGACGACTGTCAAATGATAATGCTGGTTGATATATGCCAACAATTCATATAATTTATTTCTTGTATATTCTTTGGATAATCTTTTTAAGTTCTTATTGTGCTTTTTCTCAATCTCTTGGAAACTTTCATTGACGCCAGTACCAGCATTATAAGTTACACGTACCTGAAGTAATGCTATACAACTCAAATAAAATGTAAAAAAATTACAATTTAAATACATATTATCTTTTGGATGAATGAGTTCCATCAATTTTTTCAGTGAAACCCACTCATCATGTATTTGGATATTATTTTTTGAATTTCATTTGAATCGTGTAGTATTTTCGCATGCACCTATGTGCCATTTTGGAGATGGGGTGTTGGTAAAAAGCCGTGATGTGCTTGCATCCAGTTAATTAGAACAACCGATCACCTGGTTTGTGGTTCGTATATGTTCAAAGAAAGTTTCACCAATGTTCATACAATTATGTCAAACCTCTGGTAAGATGACCAGTTGAAAAGAGAAAGAGCATAGGAATAATTGGAATCATAATCACGGACCAAATGAGAAGGAAATTCTTGATTTTTATTTCATTGAGGGGTCAGTACTGTACACTCAAGGTAATTCTACAAGGAAAGAATTACAAGTTTATAACTCATAGAACATATAATTGCTTTTAGTTCTATGAAGATGACCCAATTGCAGCCAGAAGCAGAGAAGTAGATCACTCTTGTTAATTTCTTCACCCGATAAATAACTTTGGGATCAGAACCCCAGTTGGGGGTAGTTTCTATGGTCAATTTCTTTCAACCGTATGCAACACAAGATATTCTCTGGCAAGTCTTCTGTCTTGTTTCCCTGTTCACAATTGAGCAGTTGTGTTAGATGAACATTTGAGTGCGGAATTAAGACTTGCTTAAGAACTTGGTAAAATTAACTACCTGGATTGTCAGACCAAAATCCAAAATACAGAACTTCAGTCTGTCTTGAAATGCTTCAAAGCCTTTTCTAGAGATGTAACTGAATCTGTGCATATCCAAGTCAATCTCAATGTAATTCTCTCCCTGCAAGGGAAATATTTCAGTCGGAAACCTGCTAAATATTTTTTTCATCCCAGATTCCGTTATAGAACAAGACATCTAGCAGTCAATAAATGCACATAAAGATCTTATGAGTTTTAAGAGTTCTTCGCCAGAGAATGGAAGTTGTTCACATGAACTGTGAATGTAAAACTTCTTCACCAGCATTTGATAGTTGGATCCAGTATCATGAATAAAAGGAATTGGAAAAGAAAAAGTGGTTTCTTTTGGTTACTGGAGAAAAATAAAATCCACAAAACCCAACATCTACAATTGTGTCCGTTTACTAGATATTACGCAGATTTTTTTTGTTTTTTATCTTTTTAAAATTCAAATGTCATCTCGAACTTAGAAAAAAATTATGATAAAATGGAAGGATTCACATCCAAAATAGAACTACTAGTTAAATTACTGATCATGCCAATAACTGAAATAGAGAGTAGTGGGAAATCCAACTGTGTTAAAGTGCAAGTTTTAAGAACACTTACCAAGTAAAATTCATGTTGAGGACGGGTGAGAACAGGTTTTTCATTGTAAGAGTTCAGAAGCTTCCTCTCGGGTGCACTTAAATGAATATCCTCCACATTAGCCAATCGGCCCAATATCTTCAATCTTTCCCTGACTGGTGCAATTGTATCTACAGGAAAACCTTTGACCCTCTCTACTTCATCGTCAATCAATTTCTGTCATAAAGAGAAGCATAGACTGATAATAATGAGAATTTTGTAGAAGAGTAAATAAGTGAAATGAGCATGTCTATGGTAATTACATGAAACAAAGAATTCCTGTCTAAAATATTTTACGAAAACTTTGCTATATTAAAAAATAGGGTAAAATTTCATAATTAGTCTTTGAACTTTGACTTTAGTTTTAATTTGGTCACTGAACTTTCAATTGTCTCAACTTAGCCCTCAACAAATTAATTTTGTCTCAGTTAAGTCATTTCGTCAATTTTCACTCTTAGATCAAATGAAAACATATGATCTATCGGTGGAAATTGATTAGATCGGATTAGTCTCCATTTAATCTAACTGTTAAAGTAGAGGAAAGGACTTAAGTGAAACAAAATTCATAGTTAAGGGATTACATTGAGACAAGTGAAAGTTCAAGGACCAAATTGAGACCGAAAGCAAAGTTCGGGTACCAATTATGAATTTTACCCTAAAAAATATAGTCTTCGAACAACGAATAAATATATGAAGCTGGAAGCCAGAAAACCATCCATCTTACCCTGAGATTTTCTTGAAAATGAAGAGGCATATCCTCTGAATAATTTTCAGAAAGTTTGAAGTACAAAACATAACTCATTCCTTCTCCATCGTATTCGTTTTGAAAGATTTTGGCAGGATATAATGGTATCTGCAAAAGAGAAAAGGGAAAACTTTCAATGATGGAAATGTTCTGAAAACCAACCTATCTCTGGTTAGGCAAAATTCAAAACCTGTCAACATCACAGAAAGGAATATATTTTCCCTCTTCTAGTGGACCAACAGTTTTTGACTATAACAGCTGTTTTAAAGGATTTTTATTGAACTCTGAACATCAAAACTTCCTATAAAAAAACATCGATTGATCATGTGTAGGAGATCCTTTGACACTATAATTTTCAGGCAAACATAGTATTAAGTGCAGCTAAGGAGAAATTTTCAGCAAAAAACAGACAAATATACCTGCAGGTTTACCACAAGAATTGGAGGGACTTTTCCAGATGAATCAATGGCAGGAAGTTCAACAAAACGAGCAATATGAACAATTTTCCTTGGAGACACGAACACATCAACACCAAAAGGAGAAAAAGCAGCGTAGTTTGGAGCTAAGTCTTTCTTTTTGTCCCTGCCAAACAAATAAGAGTAGATGTAACATTGTGAAAAGATATTTATAAGGAAACTAAAATATTTGAGTTGCAGCCAAAGAATCCAAAAGTGGTAGACAAATCCACCAAAAGTTCGCATGCAATCAACGTAATAACTTATCAAAGAGAAAGTGCAATCAATAAAATGTTACATTCTCACCTTAAATAATTCTGTCCCCGAACTTTGAAAGTACTAGGCACAATTGCTGACCAACAGTCCGACATTTTCTTCTCTATTGAGCAGTATGGAACTTGAGAACCTGCTGCAGGTCTTTGCAGAAGAGCCTTTGGTGATACTGAAGTGAAAACAAACATATTATTATTGAATGAGGAAACAATCCCTTGGAATAACAAAAGATGAGAATGATATTGCATATATCATAATAATAATCATGTTACGAAATGCATTGAAATAAGCATTTATTGCACCTTTCTGCAAGTAGATATGCCACATAAACATATAATTGTATGTTAACATAACTACATAGTAGCACATCAAATCTTATGAAGTGGTATTTCTTTCCAAACAGGATTACAGTCAATGCAAGCATTGAGAAAAAGCATGCAAGTCTGAAACTTACTCTTGTACTGCATAAATTACATTAAAGATTGTTTACTGGCATAAATATCAGAAGATTCCAAATAGCAAAACCAAATTCTTGTGGGCCTCATAGAATGTAAACTACATTGTCATCTGATCCATATCACTGAAGGGACATGTTATGACATATGCACCAAAACATGAAAAAGTTCTTAGTTCTAGCTACTGTTTCTTACCAATCTCTTCAAAGAGATGTTACTAATACTTATATTTAAAAGCATATCACCATAAGTATCTTCAACATATCTTATCATCCAAATACCAACTTGCAAACTAAGACCAATTAATCAATAATAGTATTTCGAAAGAGTAATGGTATTGGGACATAAAAATTTGAACTAATTTATCGACCTAATGATGTGGTAGTGACATGGTCTAATAGAATTATTGAGATTGTACCTGTCGGATTTCTTCATTAAGACTCTATTACTTGATACATTATTAGGTTAATTTTTTAAGTACCAACATCATTATTATTTTCGATATGTGATATCCTATATTTGCTCAATATAGATACTTTTAGAGCTCATAAAAACCACATGATGACATGATTATCCGTAAAATATTTGTGTACTAGTCATTTATGAGAAAACTTACATAAAGTAGGATTAGCTTGTTCTTCCCTCCATTTAAAAGAAAGCTTTAGGGATAGTTTCTTTTTTGTAGTTGAAGTGCTTGAGCTTATTGATTTTCTCTTTTCGCTTGAGGGGGCAGTACATGCAAGACAAGGCAAGCAGGTATTGTGTAGAAGTCCACAATTGTGCAACATTCCGGTTTCATTCCCTCGGGAACTTTCACCCATGCTTTTAGTGGAGATTTCAACAGCTGTGCCAGATACCTTCACCTCATTCTCTGGGTAACCAGATTTCACTTGAGAATCAACCTCTTGGACAGATTCTGAATTTCCACATGGTAGTTCACCTGGCTTTGGTAAAGAAGGAACACTGCCATTACAAGTAATGTGATCAGAATGTCTTGGAGACACAATAGTTGACAGGGATCCACTAACAGAGCCATTCTCAGATATATCTGCAAATATTGAGATCATGCCAGACACAGATCAGCAACCGTGAATACTGAAATACATAAAAAAAAATGTAAAAGGAGGTAAAAATATTAATTGACGACTCATTAAAGGTATAAACGCACTCACCATCTCGAATGCTATAAAAATCATCATCGGAGTCAGACTCAATCAGTGTCGCGGGATCAAACCATGACTCTACATTTCCTGCTTGAAACACAGAATGCAACTCAAATTAGCCAGATCCACAAGTAATAGAATGAAATTTAAGAGAATCTATAGGGTTATAAGCATGACTCCAGTCAGGAAACTTAATGACCGTAAGCCAGAAAATGTAAAGCATAGTCCTATTGTCTAGACTGAAGAGTGAAGACACATTAATGCAAATCTGTCTCCCAACACACTTATATTCTTAAATTACATATTTCTTGCTTTAAAGATTAACTTTACTTCTAACATCCTCTTCTCTATACAGCCTTGTATAACCCCTCATCCAACAAATGCTTCTTAGTTGTACAAAACACTGTTTTCTGAAAATATATAATGCTACCACCACTAAACTATCTACTCCTACCCTCCTGGGCCAACCTGAGACCTCTAGCTAGGAGATTGATCGCGGCCAAACCCAAATGCAAGGTTTAATCTCCTAAGAGCAGACGTTAGAGCAGTAGTACGACTGCTAATTGTGCCCTGGACATCATGGGCCCGAATCACATAAACAGCCTCTCCGTATCCACAAGGTAAGACTGCATACATCAAACCTCCCCAGACCCGCAAAATCACCGTGCTGGAATGCCCTTTTCTATTTTTACTGCTAAGTAATGTTTTACTTTTTAGCTACCCCAATTATGTTTGAGCATAATCTATCAAATTAAACGGCAGAATTCTTATCCTCAAGGCAGCCTAAAACCCAATTTTTTTCAGAAAATCAAATAAACCCAAAATTTGTAACCAAATCAACGGCCTTATCTGTACCATAAAGACGTAACTTGCAGAGAATAATATGTATTTTAAAATTACTCCATAATGCATTGTGTATAGATGTTCGGAGAGTATTATTGATACCTTGGAATGTAGGGTTGCAGTAAGAGCGATCATTCGAAGCAGAAGAGTTAACCTTGTTGAGCTTGCGAGATCGCACATGGATCTTTCTCTCTCTTCTTACTATTCTGCTCCTCTTCCGAGATTTCGATCGACCACCTACACATCCTCTCGGTTTCGACCCACAAGCACCCATTCTCTTCTAATTCTGAAGCGAAAACGGATCAATAGTTCTTCTCCAAATCCTTTGAAACAAAATATCTCTACGCGAAGCAGATATTTATATTTGTTGGAGACGTGGTTGGTGTGACGACAATGTTAGTGTACTGGCACAGCTTAAATTGAGCAAAGCAAACAATCCGTGGTAAACTCGGTTATTAAAACCATAGAAAAATAAAATAAAGTTAATTAATTTTGGCCCCTCAAATTATAAGATTTATGTCATTTTATCCATTTGACTATAAAATTTCTCTTCTTACACCTAATTATTAATTTTTCATTATCAAAATGATTAAATTATTTTAGAAATTTAATGAAAAAAATTTTATTTTGTTTAAATTAATATTTTTCGTCCAAAATTTAATTTTTATATTTTAGATAATGTAAAATTAATTCACATAATTGAAGTGGTAGAGTAATTTAATAATTTAGGAGACAAAGTAGTACAAATCTCATAACTTAAAGGGGAAAATTGTAATTAACACAAAAAAGAAAAAAAAGTCACTTGTTAGCGTAAGCACCTACCTGGGAGGCGGGTGACCACGTACCAAATAATTGCCACGTGGCTAGATCGAGAGACTGGGCCGACGATTTTATAATCTCACTCTCAACTCAAGTACATAGAGCACGCTCCAAACGTTGTGTTTTGACACGTGCGTCATACAAATTTGGCTAATCAGACGCGCACTTTATTCCAGCTCTGCGAGCGTGGCGCGAGTCGGGGAAAAGTGGGAAGTGGGTGTGAAACCATGTGAAAGCTTTTTTGAGTTTGGTTTCGAATATTCTACGGGGGAGTGTTGAAAATATTCAAAGGTAAACTACATTAAAATTTCTTGAGGCCGACCGCTTAATTAGATAGTCATAAATAAATTATATCTAATTTTTTTGAAGTTTATCACCTAATTAGATAGATTTATTGCATATTTTTTGTCAAACATGAGGATGTATAGTCATTAAGTGACAAATTTTAAATTCTTAAAAGTGATTCAGTGATTAAGTTTAATTTAAGAGAAATTAAATTTAATATATTTAATATTTGAATGAGTAATTGATACAAATCTAGATGTTTTATAACTGAAAAAATAATAATAAACTTAAAGAGGGGTCGAATGTAATTTATTTATTATTTATTATAACGGTAATATCACGTCATCTTCGTCACGTGATATTATCATTCATATAGATACAAGGACGGAGCTATAGAATTACTGGGGGTAAATTTTAGTAATAATAATAATATAAAAATTAAACTAATTATAAATAAAAGCACTTGGGTACAATTTGACCATATTTTTTTAGTATTTTTTTAAAAGCATTGAAATACTATTTGTTTTTTGTTTTGATTTTTTCTTTGATGAACTTGTTCTATTTTTTCGAGTGATCAAATTTGTATTTAATTTTATAATGAAATTATTATTTTTTAATTATGAATGGTTGCCCAAATAATAATTGGTAATTACAATTGTTCCTAACTAATTTTTATTTTTTGAAAATATCATTTCAATTCCATTAAAGATGTTATTTTTTCCCAATATATTAAAATTAACAATGACAAGAAATAGGGGTGGAAATGTAGGCGGACACACAGAATATTCTTCAAAAATATGTTTTGGGAATTCAAATAAATAAAATATTAATTAAGTTTACTTATTGCAAGCTTAGGAACTAAATCTAATTGTGATTGATGACTAGGGTGGAAAGTCGAACGATTTCGAATAAGTTCGAGTAGAGTTTAAAAAACTTATTTTTTTAATTAAGTTTAAAAAAATATTCAAATTCGGCTCATTTAAAAAACGAGCCGAGTCAAGTCCGAGTATTTGTATATAAACGAGTCAAGACAATCGAGTTCAAGCTGAACCTGTCAGATTTATTTTTTAAACAAGTCTAAAAAAATATTTAAGTTTAATAGTTGTTTAGAAAACGAGTCAAACCCGAGTTAAACTTAAGTAGTTCAGTTTGATTAACAACTCTATTGATGACTAAAAAAATTAGGTACGCGCGACAACTTTTTTAAGAGGGTAAATTTAGAAATATGTTGGAATACACATATAAAACCATCTTTGCACATAAAATTTATATAATATTTATAAATGTCAGTATCTGCGAAAAAAATTTTGATTACGTATTTTATCCCTAATTTTTATAAAAAAAGTCAATTATACCCACTAATATATGTATTTTCATCTAATTTTTATTTTTTAATTCTATTTGACTTTTGACTTGTTTTGCACTTTTTATAAGAAATTCTAAATTCTTTTAAACTCATTTATAAGTAGTACAATTACATACAGTTTTTTATATCTATATAAAGAAGTAAAATAGTACATATATGTTAAATTATTATATAAATGTAGTTATCAAATTGAATTTCGTGATTAAATATATATTATATTTTTATTTTTTTGGTATGTAATAATATATAGTATTATAAGCGATTTAATCAATCTATTTTTAAAAATAAAAAATAATAATTCTATAATATAATTAGTGTGCAAATGCCTAAAAAGATTGGAGAGATATTTAAATAAATGACAATTTAGGTATTCAAAATTTTATAGAATAATTTTATAATTAAATTTAGTAATAATTAAAACCTAAATTAATTATTTGACTTATAATTTATTGTTTAATTTAATTACACATATAATTCACATAGTTTATAAAAATAATATTATTTAAATTTATTTACGTGTAACGCATATCGTGTATGACTAGTAAATAAAAAAATTAGTGAGGGTACTAAAGAGTGGCTCCGCCTTGCATAAGAACCTAACAAGTGAGAAAATGGATCTTATATATTTTAGTAATCACCCTTCTATGTCATTTGATTTGATAAACACGAAATAAAAAATATATATATACTTTATTGTATTTTTATTAGATGATAACACTACATGATAATGATGATATAATGAAAAAAAAAAAATCGTTAATGACATAGTGTTACAATTGTAACGAATATTTACTCACGGTTTGGTGGGTATCAAATTTCTCTGCTGTTTTTTGGTGAGAAGAAAATTAATTGAATTAAAATTTTTCTTTTGGAGGAAGACTATATATTGTACTGAAATTTAAAAGTTAAGTTGTAATATTTTGAGGTATAAGTTATAAGTACAAAAGATATGATGGAATGTAAAATATTATGATTGATTATAAAAATTATAATTTTTTTAAAGGTTAAGTTATATATTTTTAAATTTAATTATCCATGATCAATTATTTAATTTTATTTTTTAAAAATATAACTTCAATTAAAAATTACTTAAATAATTTTTTTACTACTGTAGAATTACCCCCATTTTTGGCATCTATATAATAAAGTGCAATACAATTCAAATATCAAAAAATAAACAAAATGACTTTTGTTTTACGCTGTTAAAATCTCTTTAAATTTTATTTTAAAATTAATTTGACGGTTAATATTAACACTCTAAATTTAATAGGAAAATAGGTTTTCCTAAGAGAGTCTTTGAGAATAACTTTTTTAAAGTGTTTATAGGATTTATAATTTCTCATAAATATTTTTTTTAAAAAAATAATGTTTGGAATTGTCCCACCAACACCACTAACCCCATCGCTCAACCACCATCATCCCCCCATCACCACTACAACCATCGCTCCCCCACCAACATCATCACCACCCCCACTACCACTTTCATAACTATCACCACTATTGCCAATGCACCACTGTCACCCTCATCACTGCCACTGCTCCACTTGCACCCCCACCCCACCCTCATTGCCCCATCGCCACCACCACCACCACCACCATTACCCCCTACCACTGATTACTACCGTGGTCGTCCACTACCACCTCCAACAGCAATCATCATCTTATTTTTATATTTATTACCATTATAATTATCATCTCATTACCACCGTCTCCTATCGTAAGCACCCCGCCACTACCATTGTTGTCCACCGTCACTCTCTACCACAATTCACCACCACCCATCGTCATTTACCATTGCCACCAGTCACTGTCACCCCCCCCACCACACCTATTAGCACCACCCGTCATTGCCTATCACTGCAGCCACCCATTATCACCTACCCTTACCACCCTTACCATTGTTGTCATTCACCATCACACTGTCACCTAGAAAGTACTCATCGTCAGCCCACCACCACCGTCATTAGTCCCCACCACCACCACTATTAACTACCATCACCATTGTCCACTACCAGCCACCCACCCACCACCTGTCATCACCTATGATTGTCATTATCATCATTGTTACCCAAAAACTACAACCACCGTCACCGTTGTCACCTATGACTGCCACCACCACCACCGTTGTCACCACCCACCACAATCATCACCATTTTTTACCATCACTACTACCGCCCAACCCCATATATTAGTGTACTAATACCGCTCACCTCCATTATAATCAATACTTAAAATATGTTTGTTATTAATCATTTTTTTTTATTTCGTATCTTCGGACATGAGAAATAATTAGTACACAAATATAAGGGATGTATATATAATTAACCCTAGTCATCAGGAGGACTAAATCATGGTCAGAATGGGCCGAGATTTAGCAATCATACTTTGACAATAAATTATTCTATTGTGATCTAAAGGTTACGAGTTAGAGTCTTAAAAACAATTTTTCTATTTATAGAAGTAAAATTGTATATATCCAATTTTTAGACCCGCAAATACAGGAGCCAGTTACGTTTTATAACATGAGTCATGCCCAAAATGGGCCTTTCGTCTCCATTGGGCTACGTTTCAGTACTAATCCAGATGGCCCATGCTTATACTGATATTTCAGTGAGTATACCCAGTAGCCAACCAGTCTCTATCGAGCTCTGGTAATGGCGGTTTCATCACCTCCAGTCCGCTTTCCTCTTCGTCTCACCACCACCACCACCGACCGTCTCGGTTCGTGTTGCCTCATCAGCCCTGCTACAAAAACCACCACTCGACGGCGGCCAGCGATTAGGACTTTCTCATACAGTAAGTCACTCACGCACTCTACTATTTCCCCGACCTTTAGCTTTTCAAAAACATCGAGAGTTAATGTTCGTTTTCTCGGATTACGTGGGATGGAAATCTTTTTTAACATGACGATGTCAGAATCGAATAGTAGATCGGCGAGTGACCAGAATAGAGAATTACTGGAAAAATACGGTCTCAATCCTGACGAGTTCTTATCCGAACCATCTCCAAAGGTGTCTCTCGATCTGTCTTTCTCTCTGTATCAATTATGTATTTGTGTGTGTTGTGTATGCTGAGTTGCTAGGGTTTGAATGTGCTGGCTTTATAGACAAGGAGGAGAAAGGAGCTGCAAAAGACTGGAGGAGGGAATCAAGTCTCACCAGAGAAATCCAAGCCACCCCGGGAGACCCATAAATTGCTACAGGTGTGTGTGACCTTTTCATTTTTTGCAGTGTGCTATGCACTAATTGAACATTAGTATTTAGCGTATTCACTGTGATTCTCAATGGAGTTATAATCACTTGGACGGTGTCAAAAACGCACATCAATTGGTTTTATTTCTTGACAATTGTCATGAAGTAGTTCGCCATAGTTAGTGGCGAACAGGTGGTTGGGAATGGACATGAATCTGAACCCTGATAAGCCTGCCAACAGTTGCTGGTTCATACAGCAGCTCACCAATCTGTTTTATGACCAAATAATCCACCCATCTCTCCTAAGTGCAGGAGAAAGCGAAGCGTTTGGGTTCTTGGAAAGGTAGTCGGCACAATAACAATGAGTCGATTTCAGGATGAGGACTGCAATGTTTAGCTTTGGTCACACAAAAACGATATATTTATTGCATGGGCAAAAAGGACTANATACAGCAGCTCACCAATCTGTTTTATGACCAAATAATCCACCCATCTCTCCTAAGTGCAGGAGAAAGCGAAGCGTTTGGGTTCTTGGAAAGGTAGTCGGCACAATAACAATGAGTCGATTTCAGGATGAGGACTGCTATGTTTAGCTTTGGTCACACAAAAACGATATATTTATTGCATGGGCAAAAAGGACTGATGGGTAGAAGTTCCATTATTAGGTGGATAGGAGAAAGAGGAAATGAAGAAATGAGTCGATTTTAGGATGAGGACTGCTATGTTTAGCTTTGGTCACACAAAAACGACATACTTACTGCAGGGCAAAAAGGACTGATGGGTAGAAGTTCCATTATTAGGTGGATAGGAGAAAGGGAAAATGAAGAAGGAGGGTGGGGGATTTTGCTTTGGGAGCATCTAATATTGTCCCCAAAAAATATTCAACACCCTTTCTTAGAGATACAAGGGTATAGTTGTACTATGTAGTGAACATTTATTTTTCATTAATTGTCTTCTTCATACTCAAACTGAGTAGATGAAGGTAAAAACAGTTTATTTTCCTTGGGGATGCTTTTATTACACTTGGGAGAGAATCATTTCATGTTCCTTTTTCCAGATAATATGGGTAATTTGAGCTATATCATTTCCAAGAAAAATGTTCTTCAACTTTATTGGTTATTCTAGGTGCTTGGAGGAAAAGCTCGAAGGAAGAAATTGCTATCACCAAAGGGTATGGATGTACGACCAATGATGGAAGTTGTAAAAGCTGCAGCCTTTGGTATTTTGCAGGTAAAGATTGTGTCATTTTGAAACTTGGTCCATCTTCTGTGAGCAATATGAGATTTTCCGACTCTTCATATTTTTGTTTGGAATTGAACAATTAGGCGGCTGGTGGCTGTCCTGCTTCTTTAAGGTCAGGTCGCTGGTTAGACTTGTACAGTGGCACAGGATCTGTTGGTATTGAAGCTATCAGCCGAGGATGCTCCGAGGTACCATTAGTAGAATAGTTGATCTTCAGTTGGGAACTATAATGTTTTGTTACATTTAAATTCCTCTTCGATTGGTGGGTAAAAGCTTACTGAAGTGATCAAGGTTCTATTAACTGACAACTTTTGGGTCCTTCTCTATTACTTTTGTTGTTTTCGTCTGGAATGCTTATTTCTTGATTGCACACTGCCAGGTGCATTTTGTTGAGATGGATCCTTGGGTTGTTTCAGATGTTCTACGACCAAATTTAGAATGGACTGGGTTTCTTGATGTCTCTGTGATACACCCTGTTCGTGTTGAAAATTTTCTCGAACGGGCAGAGCGAATTATAGGTTCTCTCTCCCCCCCCTCCCCTGCCAAACAAATAAACACACACACAAATGTACTATCTTTCCCTTGTGGAGTTATACAAACTAAAATTTGTTTTGTGGATAAAGGTGGGCCATTTGATTACATTAGTGTCACACCTCCATATACACAAGTGGATTATGGAGTCCTGATGAATCAAATCTCAAGTACGTCTGTAGTTGGAGAGGATACCTTTATAGTAAGTTGCTATCTCTCTTAACTGCTAAACATGTTTATACATATTTCATATTATTCTTCTGTGTTTGTTTTATTACATAGGTAGTGGAGTACCCATTAAGAACTGACATGCTGGATTCATGTGGGTCTCTTGCAAAGGTAATTTCAGTGACCATTAGTCACTCGCTGCGTCCAAGGTTTATACCGTCGTTGTAAATGAATATATCCCTCTTCTCTATGTGGTTTTTCATATTTTCCTTTTTGGATGTTTGAAAAGTTGAGGAGTATTACAGAGTTTCCAGACATGCTATTTTCCACATACTAATTACAAGTTTGTTGCATGTAACTGTTCTCAACTAAGTGTACATATAATGTGTAGTGTGAGTGCATTTATCTCGGTTTCCTAGGACTGCATCTTGTGTCAAAGTAGACAACTTTTTTCTTGGGATTAAGGGCTGTTTACTCTGGAATCTCTATGCAGATGCTAACATTTTAATGGCCAGGTTAGTGGCTAGTGAAATAAGGAGCAAGGAGAATCCTTCTAGTGATATACACTGGTTAACTTTGTTGAAATTGAATTTGGTTCATTGTTTTCTTTTAGTGTAAATTAAAATGTCATCCTTGACATTTTTACTGTCCAGCTATCCCCTGACATTTGGATATAAACTGCTAAATCCAAACAAGTACTTGAGAAGATGACATTAGCAAAAATAGTAATAATACTCGACTTTATTTTTTTATTTTTTTCTTCTTCTTGATTTTGACCAGTTTTGAAGGGAAACTAAGTTTAATTAGAAGGGTAACCAAGTAATGTCTTGATAAAAATATCGATGCGGGTCTTCATGTGAATTTGGAAATGCCAAGGTGTCATTACATTTGCCCATTTTAATTAGGGCCGGCCCAATAGTATGGAAAAAAAAGTGTGGGCTTTAGGCCCCATAATTTAGGTATATCACTTGCTCACAAAAAAAATNGTGTCATTACATTTGCCCATTTTAATTAGGGCCGGCCCAATAGTATGGAAAAAAAAGCGTGGGCTTTAGGCCCCATAATTTAGGTATATCACTTGCTCACAAAAAAAATTAAATCCATTAAATTTTAAGTCCTACAAAAAGCCCTAAAAAATTAAATTCAATCAAAATTTTTATTATGATGATTTGGGCCTTTAATCTAATCTATAACATTAAAACTTAGAAATTAAAAAAATAAAAAAAAATACTCAAAAGTCAACTCATTTACTTTCACCCACTCTCTATCTCTATCTCTANTTATTATGATGATTTGGGCCTTTAATCTAATCTATAACATTAAAACTTAGAAATTAAAAAAATAAAAAAAAATACTCAAAAGTCAACTCATTTAGTTTCACCCACGCTTTATCTCTATCTCTCTCTCTTTCTCTCTCTCTCTCTCTGTGGTAAAAAACAAAAACAAAAATAAAAATTGAAATTTTTTTCTTGACAATATTAATACATCATTCTTTTGTCTCTCTTATGTAGAAAATTAAAAAAAATAATACTAAAAATAAAAATGCCTTTATTTAATGTTTCTGCTTTAGGCCTCAAATTGACTTGAGCCACCTCTGATTTTAATGCACTGGAACTTGTTATCATAGCAATGGCTAGATTTGTGGTTTCTAGTGTGCTAGGCAATTTTAATATTTGACTATGACAAGACATCATATGAGAGTTCTTTTGTGTCTTGCAACACAAGTGCAGATAGCTGATCGGCGGTTTGGCCGGACACACCTAGCAATATATGGACCCACATGGGCACAGAAGAAGAGAAAGTCGGAGGGGTTGTAGCAGGAGAAGTTAGTGGAAATGGATAATGGATGAGTGTAGTGGAATTAAATTGATCTCCACTGAATGCCATTTCGTGTTGCTGATGCTTTATTGTTCACTGCACTCAACATTTAATCAACTTACATCAGCTTCCAGAGGTCTTCATGGTAATTTGATGATAGGGCACCATATGCTTATATGTGTCTTTATATGGTTCTGTTCCTTCTTTTGTTCTGCACCTGCTGGTGGTTGTGGGTGCCTCCACGTCTATATGTGCATGTGTGGCATTGGCATCTTCTAAAAGGAATTATGGATATATTTCAGGTGCATGTCTTTGGTTCTTTCAGCAATCCTTGGCTGCTTAATAAGTACAAAGAGATCAAATTAATCTGATCCCAAGGTCAACTGAGTTTGCACTGAATGTAAGAATCACAATTCATATTTGATATTTGTATTGAAATTTTGACAAGCAGATGCATGGTTAGTTAAATCATGCATACCTTCTTTNCAACTGAGTTTGCACTGAATGTAAGAATCACAATTCATATTTGATATTTGTATTGAATTTTTGACAAGCAGATGCATGGTTAGTTAAATCATGCATACCTTCTTATTGTGTAATTTTTCTCGAGTGAAGTCACGTGACTCGTACCTGCTTTTGTATTGTGAGTTGCTGCCAAACGGATTCATATTTAATTATTTACGAGCCTCCCGCATCATATGAGTAATGAACACTGTTTATAATGCTCAATGCCTTCCGATTGTGTGTTTTTATCTGTTGATCCTAGCACCAAGACGTCTTGCCTATTTTCAGTATTGATATTTTACGTTTATGCATTCGTGTGCTGTTTGATGCCTAAATGGGCCCTCGCCTGCTTGCTGTTTGCATAAGCAAGAAAATAATAAATAATGAATGCAAAGCACCCCTTAAACTTTCTTTTTTATCCACATTTTCTTGATTGTGTGGGTTATTGAATTCCAAAGGTAGTAGTATCCCCCCAGTTTAATAGGATTTTGTGGTGCACCTTGGTGAGTGGCCTCCCACTGGTATTTCTGATTTCACTTATCAAATACAAAATAATCAGTATACTCTTACCATTGTTAAAAGAGAAAAAGAGTATTATATTAGACTAATGATTACCAATGTCATTATGTTGATGCTATAACTTGATTCATGTGAAAAAAAAAATACTAGCAGTTCTATGTCTTTTTTTTTTTGGAATATGGAAAACACTTGTCAATCTGTAAAATAAGCATCAGTTACTCTCTTGGATCCTACATTGTGGGGTGCGCCGGGAGGCATAAATGCACAATGTTCATGCCCCCTTGGTGTGTTCAGATGATGCAAAGTTGGTGGGGGACGATATCACAAAAACTATTCTATGTGGATGAGGTTCTGGTTGAGTTGAATTTAGCTGGATGTTGGAGAATGTAAGATCAGTCAAATTTGTTGGAATTTTTCTAAAGAAATTGAAAATTGATGCTTTTGTTTGAATCTGGCCAAATTTTTTCTTAAGAACTACATAGCAAGTTATCAAATGCTTCAAAACCATGGCTGGCGTGGTCTTTATGCTCCAAACCCCTGAGAGGTCGGCCATTCGTACATAGGGGCCAAAAGTGACCCAACTGACCGTGCCAGTTGGCTTAGTTAATCATTGCCATTAGCAGTGTGTGAATCTCAAATGCACATGCTTTTCGCTTTTTTATTGTGCAAGTTTAAACACTGGGGCCTTTAGAATCTAAATATATTTTCATTCTATTCCTGGCTTGTGCCTCAATAAAATCAAGTTCAGTTGAGGGGACAGGGTGTATAGGTAGGGTTCATAAAAGAGGAGAATTTTATTAGAACAGGCTATGGTGGACCATCCCAGTTGATACTTTGATTTTTATTAGAGGAAGCCTCTGTTTCCTTTTTCCCCAGAAGATACAACAAAGTTTCTTGTAGAATGGGTGTGTAGCCAAGTTTTAGTAGCCATATGATCCAAATGAAGTTACTTTCCCTGCTGAGCATTTTTATTTCAAACTTATTTTGGTCCTGGTTTCAGTTGAATCTAATTGTCATTTTAGTTGTATCTGTATGCATCTTAATAGATACAATGGAATTGAGAATTGTGTAGTCAGCTTACTGTCAGGAAGTTCAGTCGAAGCTTGAAGCTCTGGTCAGATTAATTTGTTTTAAAGAAGTCAGATGCAGATTGAGCTGGATCTAATTAGCAGATGCTCCTCTCCGATCCCTCATATTATGCTAATCATTAGTATTGATCTTCTTCAAGTTCAAATCACATTCTTTTGTTGATGAGTCTTCCTTTTTTGGTCTCTGTTATGTAGCAATCTTTTACTGGTATAGTTTGCACTTTAGTTTCTTTCTCTCCCTCTTTTTTTAATCTGTCAACTTCAAATTGTCTTTGTAGATTTGAAAGCCTGATAGATTTCCTGGGACCATTGAATGATGGCCTCTGATTCCTACATGTACAAGGAACATAATGGTAAAGAAACTGGTGTATTTTATGGTATGTGAGCTTTAACAGATACACATTCCCGACATTGTTGAGACAGTTGCCCACAAGTATCTTTCAACTCCTACCCTTATGAAGGAATTTTACTAGACAAAACACGTTAGTTCACCAAATCTTCCTAACTTTGTAGAGTGGCAATGTCCCATGCTTCNTGAGACAGTTGCCCACAAGTATCTTTCAACTCCTACCCTTATGAAGGAATTTTACTATACAAAACATGTTAGTTCACCAAATCTTCCTAACTTTGTAGAGTGGCAATGTCCCATGCTTTCCCTCTGGATATAGTGTCAAGGATACTTTAATAGAGTTAAAATTCTTGCAACAATTTGACGGTATTATTATAGCAGAAGATAATTAAGTTTCATACTTGTGGAGACCTTGTAGTGGTGGAAGACTCGTGTCCTAGGTAGTTTCATACATGTTCGATTTGTTCTATGTTACTGTAAGTTCCCGCATATGTTGGTAATTGATTGCAGTTGATAATTGCCGTTGTGTGTTTTCTAATAGTGCTGGAGGCTGTTTTTGGTGTACGAATACTGAGAATATAATCTTTGTTGGGAATTACAGAGCCTAAGGACTTAGTTTAATGGGAAACTCTTCGGTACCGGAATTTTTTTTGGTATTGGTACCGTCAATTATTACTTTATTTTGAAAGGATGATTAATCATATGTTTTAAAGTTATAACTTACACTTAAAAAAAGTTATAATTTTTGGTATTGGTNTAAGGACTTAGTTTAATGGGAAACTCTTCGGTACCGGAATTTTTTTTGGTATTGGTACCGTCAATTATTACTTTATTTTGAAAGGATGATTAGTCATATGTTTTAAAGTTATAACTTACACTTCAAAAAAGTTATAATTTTTGGTATTGGTATCACGGACAAAACTGTAGAAGTTCTCTAGTTTAATATCTTCTATTCTTCGTCTTTGTCTTGATGAATGTGAAATTTCTATTTCTGAAAAGCTGCTGTTTTTGTCGAATTTTCTCCCATATTCTTGTATAGTTGTTGACAGTATGCAAAACCGGTGTAAAAAAGGTGGTATAAAATCCTCGTCTACAAAGAATTTGAGAAAAATAAGCATTGATCTTTTAATCTTAGTATAATCATACAATTTGGTTTTCCATCTAATCCTCAATATGAGGCCATTAGTAGAATACTAAAAAGGCGAATTTCATTTTGTAATTTAAAAGATGTTTCGGNATAATCATACAATTTGGTTTTCCATCTAATCCTCAATATGAGGCCATTAGTAGAATATTAAAAAGGCGAATTTCATTTTGTATTTTAAAAGATGTTTCGANTCTTTTAATCTTAGTATAATCATACAATTTGGTTTTCCATCTAATCCTCAATATGAGGCCATTAGTAGAATACTAAAAAGGCGAATTTCATTTTGTAATTTAAAAGATGTTTCGGTTCTTAATTTGTATCATTAAATATTAAAAATTTTAATTTATACCTTGAATATAATGAATCGGTAGTAATGTGAAGTTGACCTAGATTGCCCTTCAATTTTTCGTCATAAATTGAAGTACGTGAGGTGTAAGTCTTTCGGGCATAAGGATATGGTACGTCTATCGTTTTAAAGATTAATTTGACATTTTTTTGTGTATCGAAATAGGGTCTCCTCTATTAGATATATATTAATTATATTATGTGCAACTCACATGAACGTTAACTGTCTGTGAATTTACGCAAATTCATGTTCGAATTACTTACAAGTCATGATAAAAAATTGAATGATAGTTTGAATGAGATCTACATTGTTACTAATTTATAACATTAAAAGTATAAATTAAAATTTTTAACATATTTCAAAATAGAAAGTGAAATTAGCCCAACATTTTATCCTTGAGACTTTATTTTCTTGCAGGGGACAGAAGACCCAATAATGTGTTTTCTTTAGGCAAGTGTACGTAAGGAATAGTAGGGGGATAGTCAGGTCCCTTGGAGTGGCTGCTTGAAATGCACACGCCAAAGCATTTAGATAAGAGTTTTGCCGTGGACCCAATCTGTATAAAGCAACAAGGAATAGCAAACTTTGTTTCTCTATGTCATTATTAATTTTTGGCAATATTACTCTTTTTCTCTCCTCTATAGTGATAATTATTATGAATGACCATGCGTCAACTTCACACGAAAAAGATACGAAATTATCGAATATGAGTTTAGTCGTAGCAAAATTGGGTCATAAACGTTTTGATTTATTAATTGAATGGGGCACAATATGATAAAAATTCAGTTAAATATAAATTTTTATTTGGAGTTATAAATTCTACACAAAATAGATCTACTACACACTATAAATGGATTGAGTGTGAATTATCAAATTTTCAAACAACATAATTTATCTGACCCAAAAATAAAAACAAACATAATTTAGACTAAAAAATAAAAACTAAGTTACAGCGACTCACGAGCTTTCTCTGATGAGTTTGAGCCTTAGAAGCATGCGAAGGCATAACACAACAATGCTTGATGTATTCCATTCCAAGTAATGATATAGAGATTTAATTAGAGATCTAATATAATGCAACTATTAGATTAATTGTGAGTTTTAATGATAGATAAAATTCACTTTTAATCTAACGATTGTATTGAACTAAGGACTCGGTCCTAGGCATGTTAATGANGCAACTATTAGATTAATTGTGAGTTTTAATGATAGATAAAATTCACTTTTAATCTAATGATTGTATTGAACTAAGTACTCGGTCCTAGGCATGTTAATGAATTGAATTTTGAATTCGAATTTGATATTTTATATTTCATGGATTTTTATTTGGATATACAAATATTATATCCGATCCGATCTGAATTGTATATGTATATATTTTTATATTAAATATTAAAAAATTAAGTGATTATTTAAAGAAATTTAGTTAAAATTTAGGTATAATTTATTAAAATTTAATTAATTAAGTTATTCGAATCGAATTCTGCATTATAAACGAATTTGAATATGAATGGTNTTAAAATTTAGGTATAATTTATTAAAATTTAATTAATTAAGTTATTCGAATCGAATTATGGATTATAAACGAATTTGAATATGAATGGCGAAAATAACATCTGCCAAATTATTGGATCAGACTTTTAAAATAAAATTCAGTTCAATCAAAATTTGATGCAAACCCGATCTGTTAATAAGCCTACTTAGTCCCCAAAATTCAGTTCAATCAAAATTCCAAATTGCATTTTAGCATTTTGCCATTTTCCNGTTCAATCAAAATTTGATGCAAACCCGATCTGTTAATAAGCCTACTTAGTCCCCAAATTTCAGTTCAATCAAAATTCCAAATTGCATTTTAGCATTTTGCCATTTTCCATCCGAGGTAATTTGCCGNTAAAATAAAATTCAGTTCAATCAAAATTTGATGCAAACCCGATCTGTTAATAAGCCTACTTAGTCCCCAAAATTCAGTTCAATCAAAATTCCAAATTGCATTTTAGCATTTTGCCATTTTCCATTGCCCACCAATTATAAAGAGAAACAATCACCCCTTACCCCGCAAGTTAAAAACCAAGCAATACAAGCCTTAACCTGCTCTCTCTCTCTCTCTCATCTGTTCTGCTCTCTGAGAGCTCCGAATGCATCATCCTCACCCCAATGCCAACATGATAGTTTTGACGTCATCTCCAAGCCTATTTCTGAACCGCCGCCGGTCACTCTGTGCCGGAGAGTATATGTAAGCAAATCAGAGGCNCCCCAATGCCAACATGATAGTTTTGACGTCATCTCCAAGCCTATTTCTGAACCGCCGGTCACTCTGTGCCGGAGAGTATATGTAAGCAAATCAGAGGCAGAGAGAATTATGGGTGGCAGTGGCAGAATTTCAAAGGCTTCATTGGGAGTTGTTTTGTTTGTGGGTTTTCTCTGGTGTTTATTCGTTGGTATTTTAGCCAACCAGACAACCAAAACGACGTCAATACCAATTCCATCAACCCCAAATTTCAAGCTCTTGAAGATGATAGGAACACAGAGGCTTGTTGTTCATCAGGGTCTTGATCTAAATTACGTGAGCAAGAGAAGAGTCCCTAACGGTCCCGATCCTATTCACAACAGGTACAGCTCTTTGCTTTACATTTTAGTTTACTGTGATTTCTTTGTATCTTCTTCTTTATCTCTTTTTGTAAGTAGCTAGAATGTTCACGAATTGCTCTCGAAGTTGAAGCGGTAATAAGAACGAAATGTAAAATTAGACATCATTCGAATTTTGACAATTTTTTTGGGCCAAATCATGAGAAATTTATCTTCATAAATTCCTTAGTCTCGGCCTTGGCCTCGGCGTGGATAACCTGCCTTTAACTAGACTGAAGAGAGAATTAATTTAGGTATGCATAATTTAGTCTAGACACTCCTGACCAAAAAGAAAAAAAGAATGTTCATGAATTCCCTGCTAAAAAAGCTTGTAATGAGTATATTGGATTTAGGAGAGATTAGTGGTAGACAATTTCATANGTTTTTTTTTTTCCGTTTTAGTTAGTTCTTTTTAATTCACCTGTGGTCGCAATGCCGCCTCCACGCAAGCCCTCGATCACTAAGCCGACCTCTTCCAATCGGAAGGAGGCAAACTCGACCAGCCTTTCAAATTTTGCCCCCAACAACATCAAAAAATAAGAATCTGGCAACTCCGTTGATTACCATAAATATATATCTTTCAATTTTTTGAACTTGATACATGTATCCGATCTTAAAAATATTGAGACAAAATTTTGTTGAGTTAAATGTTTTGAACTTGAGGACTGCATGAGATTATTCCAATCACTTGGTGGGAAAAAGAGAACAATAGCAATTAGCAATATTATGTTAGCTTTTAGGATGTGTCATTAAAGTGGAAACAAAGTAACTCTCTGCTCATTCCTTTTTTCTTTCACTTTCTCTTTTTCTTGCTTCTTTTTCTGGTTTGGTTTTTGATTGTTTCAAGAAGCAAAGACTTGGTCTAAAGCAACTGAGATTCAAATTAAGGAGCCTTTTTTTTTTTGTTGCATGAGGGACAGAATCCCTTCACCTGCAGTTATGATGGTTAATTGGAAAGTTGATAACTTTGCTGTTACTTCAAACAGGAATGACTATTTTTTTTTGGGGTGGTTCAACCGACACAGTATCCGGACCAGTTTATGTGTATCTTGAGAGATAAATTTCTCATAGCCTAACTCCAAAAAATTATCAAGATTTAAATTGACGTCTAAATTTATAACTCATCCTTATGATCACTTAAACTACCTCATAGGTTAGAAATGACTATAAACCACATCATTAATGTGTAAGACTAATAATCGAACCGAGCTTTTTGAACACGAACCGAGTCTAGTGAACTCGTTTTTTTAAACTAGCCTAAAAAAATGTTCAAATTCGGCTCGTTTAGAAAATGAGTTGAACCCGAGCCGAGCTTGAATAGTTCAACTATTTTATATATAAACGAGCCAAACTTTTTAGACATGTTTTCTAAATGAATCTAAAAAATTGTTCAAATTCCGCTCGTTTAGAACACGAGTTGAGCAGCGAATTCTATCTGAGTTTGAACCCGAACCGAACCCAAGTGACTCGGCTCAATTATTAGCCTTATCAATGTGACTTAGATTTAGTAACAGATCATTAATAGATAGATATAAAAGTTTATTTTTTAAAATAGAACATAAGAATTACTCATATAATACAAACATAAACCACTATCACCATCAACGATTATTATGAGAATTGACGATTCTTAATCGGCATGAAATAGACACGGTTATCAAAACATGAGTTTAACTTTAACCAATTTATGTAATGATTGGGATTAACCCCGTGTCACTTCCTTCACTAATTGATTGTCCCACGACGGATTTTATACACCATACGTACATGTAACAACACGTCCCCTTATGTGCTCTCTAACTGTAACAATTACGCAAACAGACCAGTAACTAGAGTGGCAGTGGACCGAATAAAAATAGATATTCGTTCAAATTTATTCCGTTTGGAACGAGGATGGACCATACGTTCACCGTACACGGAGATACCCGTATAAACTCATGTGAGAATAAAGGCGATGATGGATTGACACTTACTCCCTCTCTGCCCCGCTTTACTTGTTATATATATTATTGTGAATACAAATCTACATATTATTGAATAATTTTTTCTTTTGAAAATTGTTTTATTTTTTAAATTTTTTTCATGATTTTGGCTTATAAAAGTGTAGATCTTTATGTTTTTATATTATTTTATGTTAGATTATATTATGTTACATTATATTGTGTTGCATGATATTATGTTGGATTTACAAGANTTGTTTAGAAAATGAGTTGAATCCGAGCCGAGCTTGAATAGTTCAACTATTTTACATATAAACGAGCCAAACTTTTTAGACATGTTTTCTAAATGAATTTAAAAAATTATTCAAACTCAGCTCGTTTAGAACACGAGTTGAGCAGCGAATTCTATCTGAGTTTGAACCCGAACCGAACCCAAGTGACTCGGCTCAATTATTAGCCTTATCAATGTGACTTAGATTTAGTAACAGATCATTAATAGATAGATATAAAAGTTTATTTTTTAAAATAGAACATAAGAATTACTCATATAATACAAACATAAACCACTATCACCATCAACGATTATTATGAGAATTGACGATTCTTAATCGGCATGAAATAGACACGGTTATCAAAACATGAGTTTAACTTTAACCAATTTATGTAATGATTGGGATTAACCCCGTGTCACTTCCTTCACTAATTGATTGTCCCACGACGGATTTTATACACCATACGTACAAGTAACAACACGTCCCCTTATGTGCTCTCTAACTGTAACATTTACGCAAACAGACCAGTAACCAGAGTGGCAGTGGACCGAATAAAAATAGATATTCGTTTAAATTTATTCTGTTTGGAACGAGGATGGACCATACGTCCACCGTACACGGAGATACCCGTATAAACTCATGTGAGAATAAAGGCGAGGATGGATTGACACTTACTCCCTCTCTGCCCCGCTTTACTTGTTATATATATTATTGTGAATACAAATCTACATATTATTGAATAATTTTTTCTTTTAAAAATTGTTTTATTTTTTAGTTTTTTTTTCATGATTTTGGCTTATAAAAGTGTAGATCTTTATGTTTTTATATTATTTTATGATAGATTATATTATGTTACATTATGTTGTGTTGCATGATATTATGTTGGATTTACAAGAGAGACAAACTTTTAATTAAATTATGTTGGATAATATTGTAAACAATGTTTTAATAACATTATGTTGTAATCGACAAACTTTTAATTATGTTATAATATTTTATAATTATGTTAGATTATTTAAAATGTCATATTTATTTAGAATTTTGAATTATGTTGGCTTCGGCGAGTAAGGTGGATGGGGGTGGGGGCGGAGGTGAAGGCAAGGGACAGAACGGGGGCAGGGATTACAAATTTACTAGCGGACGGGAATGAGAATAAAAATTATACCCGTTAACGAGGGTGGACCGAAAATGGACAAATTTTTTTTAAGCTGGTATAAAGATAGAGACTACACTCCCCACCCCCGCTTCGCTCCACTGCCATCCCCACCCCACCGGTAAGCCAAGTAAACATATTCCAACACACTACACTATACCATAGTCAAAAGCAACCAGAAATGACAGTTTGTGGGCATAGTGTTTCTAGTATGGCTATGAAGCCCAAGTCGTACGGGAGAGTCCACAACATATCTAGACATGGGTCTCCTTTGGTGTGTCGATGATTTTAATATATGTTGAGTCCTCAACATATATTTGTGATTAAATAGGTATAAAAATTGGATTTTCAAAATGATGGAGAGAGAAAGTGGTAGTTATGTAACTGTTTCATCCCTTTTCTTATGTTATCTATTTTCCTTCATTTTATATCCAGCGTCGAAGTGTATAATTTGCTGTTTATCTGATCAAATAAGTTATCAATGTTCTTCCATTATCTGGTTAAATGAGTTCCTCCGGCTGCATAAAACCTAGACCTAGCTGATGCATGTAATTTGCGAGTAATTCTACATATTCAAGATTTGCAAAACGAGTGGATTGGTGTCTTCAAAAAAAAAAAAAAAACAAAGGTGTTCAAGTAATCAGAGAGGAACTAGGAATGCTAGCTGATAGCTCTACGTACAAAAGCTAAGCTACCGACTTATTGGGCCTAACGGCCCTGTGCTACACTTGGGCTAGTGCAAAGGAAGTTGAGTTATGGGTCTCTTCACCGTTGATGGCCTTCATAGGATATGCTCAAGCCAAACCGTCCAAACCTAAGTATGCCCAAACTAGCCCGAGTTCATGTTGAGGTATTTATACTTTGACTCAAGCTCGATCACTTGGCTTTGATTTTGTCAAGCTTGACTCAATTAGAATGTTAGATGTTCGAGCTCTCAACTCGCCTGTGCTTGGTTCAGCTCGTTTTTCACCTCAAGCTTACTCGCAATCATTGTTTATTTTTAGTTGTTTCCTCGGTTTGAATAATGGGGTTTGGCAATCACTTTCAACACCGGCCGCTTCTATCCCTCCTTGATCATGGGAAAAACCCTTCAAAGGAACATATGGCTCATCGATACCTCTGAAGTCAAGCCAACCACTTCCTCTGGTTGCCTTTGCTTTTCATGGCTTGGCAATAGCCCACTACCGTAGCACTTACGGATCTTTTAGCTCCTGTCGGCTTGCGTAATCGAACAAGCTTACTCTTTCATCTACTAGTGGGTTGTTGGAATAGTAACCCTCTTGTCCATCATACTGAATTTGTCTAGTTTAATATGATAATTTCTTTACGTTTGTCAATAAACAACATCCAATAATTCTAGAACACTAACTGACTTTTCTCGGCATATTCATCACTTTTACAAGATTAATCAAACATATTTTGGCTACAACTATGGCATAAGAGCGCGAAATTGCAAGATTAGGATCAGAGATTTACAGTCTAGTGAGAACCAAAAAAAGTTTTTGTTGAGATACCAATATTCAACCAAAAAGCAGTTGTTATAGGTGCGGCCTGTGCAGTATTAAGTAATGGTTGCTCGTGGATAGCCCAGATATGCCCTAAATTTTACAGCCAAATCATCTCTCGGTGGGGAGACATCCCCACCATCATCAGGAGTTACTCTCAATCTTCTGCCTGCTAGGTTTTATAGACTCTTCAAATAGTACATGTTTAGGAGTAACCCATTTATCCAACCATCCACATTTATTGGGCATGTAAAAATTAGAAGATGTTCTGGGCAGTGTAGCAGCATAACCTATTTAGATATGGCAAGACACAACTATACGATACATTTAATTCCCTCATCTCGATAAGCTTGTTATAAACCTCAGTCTTTTTTGAAGAACAGGGAGATGGAAAAAAGTAGAGAGATTGATATCACAAAAAATGAAAGCCAGGAAATAAAGGAACTATGAGCTCCAATAAATGTTCGTTTCTACTCAAAGAAAAAGGGTTCATTTGGTTTGGTTCGTATTTTGAAGTGATGGATAGAGGGCATCCATCAGCTATTTTCTCTAAGTACAGAGGTGAATCAGGATAAACCTTATAATCAAACGAAACATATTATATAGAGCATGAACTTTCTTGACCAGACTCTGTATCGAGAAAAGTTGTGGTTATGTCATGAGAAAATGGGGTTGATGTGGTTGCATTAAAGCATTAAGAAAAAAAGTATCTTGAACGTCCAAAAATATAAACAAAAACGGAAAACTATGCATTAGGGTAGAAGGTAATGGAATATGGACTCGAGATGCAGCAACACTTAGATGAAACAGATGATAATCCCCGAGATATATCACTATGAAATTGCATTACAACTTACAAGTTCCGATGATCATCTTCACTGTGAAATTTCTAAGGATACAAGCAACAGAGCATATCTCAACATCAAGAAGCATCAAAGGCCATTTTCCATGATACGAGGGCAGAAATACAGATTTCACATGAATTGTGAAAGCAAAAATCAAAAAGTTATCGCACAGCTACTTTTGATAGGTGTGAAATACATTAGTAAAAGCCAGCTAAAATAAGTGGTAAACGTTTTACATACAGAAAGTATGAGAACATACCTTAAGGTGCAGAAAATTCGTTCAGAAGTGCAAGAACCGTTTCGCCATACTTCCCACACCCTTTTGCTCCTGAAGTCAAATCGGATTATCAGTATCTTGCTTCCCGAAAAGTAGTGGAAATTCATCATACTGCTCTGAAAAACCTTGTTCCGCAGCCATGCTCTTCAATGAATCATACGCCTGGTACATGGAACATCTGTCCTTGGGTTGAGAAACTACGCAATTACATGCAATTCTCAAAAACTGCACAATTTCTTCATCATGGCCCCTTCCACAGAGACTCTTGTCAATGGCATCCTTAATTCGGCCAGCGCTAGAGAGCTGACTCACCCAATCCACCAAATTACCTTTAAATCCTTCCTCAACATTGCTAACTTCGAGAGGTTTCTGCCCAGTTGCCAACTCTAGAAGCACCACCCCAAAACCATAAACATCGCCCTTCAATGAAGCCACCATGGTGCTCGGGTACTCTGGAGCTATGTAGCCAAATTCACCCAGGTCACCATTGACAAAACTGCTCTCGTTAGGGTTCGAAGGAGCCATAAGCCTCGCCAACCCGAAATCCATGATCCTAGCATCAAAGTCCTCATCAAGGAGAATAACATTAGAGCTGATATTCTGGTGCAGTATGGGAGGTTGACAACCATGGTGAAGCCAAGCAAGCCCTCTTGCAGCACCCAAACCAACTCTAAACCTAGTCGGCCAATCCAAAACATTTGCATTTCCATTCAATAGATGACACAAAGTCCCATTAGACAAGTGCTTATAAACCAAAAGCTTCTCCTCTTCCACCACACAAAACCCCAAAAGTGGCACCAAATTGGGATGTCTGAGCTGACCTAACCTATTCATCTCCATGCGAAACTGCTTCTCACTCAACTTACAAGAACTAAGCCGTTTAATAGCAAGAACTGACCCATCAGAAAGAACAGCCTTATAAGTAGTCCCTGTCCTAGTCGAAATTATAATATTCTCCATATTAAAATTGTTTGTCGCAGCCATTAAATCCGCCAACTTAACCTTCACAAGCGGTTTCTGAAACAAGGAGACCTGAACAAGCTTAAAAGATCTCAATCTTTCAGCCCAACTATCACTATCATCTCTTCCAGTCCCAGATCCTCCCTTCCTCCTCCGACTGGACCGAGTAAAATACCACCACCATGCCCCAAACCCTAACAACAACGACGCCGCCGCACCAAAGACTCCAGCAGCTATAATTATCGCCAAATTTTTCTTACTCAAACCACCGCACTTCCCAAGAGGACTACCACAAAGACCATCATTTCCAGCAAAATCATCCGCCGTAATCGTACTAGGAAAGGACGGAATCGTACCGGATAAATCATTATAAGCAACGGAAAATTTCTTAAGCCTACCTAAACTAGAAAATTGATATGGTATATTACCAGACAACGAGTTGTTTGATAATATAAGATTATTCAAATACGAGCAATTAACGAGATCGGCGGGGATCGAACCGGTTAAATCGTTGTTTGACAAATCAAGGGTGACTAAATAAGGCAACCACTTGCAAATTTGAGTAGGGATCGGACCGGAGAAGCCATTACCAGACAGATCGAGAGTTTGTAAGCTTTGACAGTACTGTAAAGCGCCCGGAATTTCACCGGCGAGGCTCATGCTACGAAGCTCGAGGCTGATTAGACGGTTCTCGCGGTCGTTCCAGCAAGAAACGCCGACGAAATTGCAGATAAAACCGACCGTTGAGTTTGCAAAATTCCATGAAGCTAGGTTCTCTTGTGGATCGGAAACTGAATTCCTCACACCTTGCAAACAGTTCACATCGTCCTCGGCGATCGCCAAAAAACCAACACAACACCATAGAAGAACAGCTTGTAGTACAGAGCTGAGTACTTTATACAAATTCATGTTGTGGACAGAGATGATTCTACTACTGATCGCAGTGGCGAAAAATTAGGATTAGGGTCTAGAGATTCAACAAGAACATGAGGTTGATTGTTGTGTGTTGGTTCTAAATAAGTATGTGAAATGGTTTGAATGGAGAGAGAAGGAAATGGAGAGACATTGACTTGGCTATGGAGGTGTGAAGGAAATACCTGAGAAATTACAATAGGAAATGGAAATTTGGGGGGGGGGGGGGGGGGGGG